GTTGCTGTATGTGGGATGCTGCCTCAGCATGGCCGGAGAAGCAGTGTGTCAGTGCGCGCCCGGGATCCCAACCCGGGCGGTCAGTAGCAGAGCTCGAGCACTTGACCGCTAAGCCACTGGGCCAGCCCCCTAAATAAGGTGTGTTTAAAGAGAAACACACATAAAACCAGTTTATGTATTGATTGGTTGATGAAAAGGTCGTGACCAGAGGCTCTCGGGACGCTAACTCTGCGGTTCCCCCGGAGCAGTGGTTCAGTATTCGCTAATTCAGTGTTCGCGGGACTTTAGAGAACATTACCGTGAGAAACGAGAATCAACTGTATATTTGAAAGAGCTCATTTACACTTATTTAGACATGCATTTATATCAAATATCACTCCTGGGCGAACTTAAAAAAGGAAACTGTAAATGCATCCCTAAGACTTTTGCGTTCAGAATCCAGTTCTTCTCCGTTGCATTTTGATTTAGACTTGTCCATATCTTCCCACTGGCCACACAGCTTCATCCTCTGTGTTGTCAAGAACCTTGCAATGTAGCATTCCCTGAAAGATGCTATAATATAATTAAGGCCATTGGTGCAGGGCACTAAAGCGGCTTTTAGTAAAGCTGGCCTAATTTAGACTTTGCTTTGGAGATTTTCTATCCAGGTCTGACTCATCACCACCTTTCCCCGCCCCAACCATTTGGTTCCTGAAAGTTAAAATCTCGCTCCACAGTTATCTCCAGGATTTTCTTCTGAGCCATAGACATCCTTCAGCAAGCTTAGATGCTTGTGTTTTTTTCTTTTTAAAAAATGTTATATGTTATACAGATAATGTTACAATGTTATACATGTAGTAGAATGCACAAATCTTAAGTGTACAGCTTGATGAAGTTTTTATGTATGTGTATAACCATATAACTGCTGCCTAGATCAAGGTATAGAACTTTTCCAGCATTTGCTGGAAGCCTCTGGAATTTTCCAGAAGGTCTTGCACATTCCCAGGGAATGACAACTGCATCCCGCCTGGCGTAAGTGTAAGGAAGTGTAAGATCCTGTTGACTTTAAGATGGAAGCAAACATGTATATGTCTCCATGAGATTCTATGACATAGAAGAAAGGAAAACATCTAGAAAACATTCCAGTTCCCTCTGACCACCTCCCTTTAATTCTTGTCCCTGCCACCATCACCTATGAGAAACACTTGGGTCAGAGTCTTTTCTGAGTGTTTATACACATATATTTGTATCCAGGGAGATACACACACACACATACACATATATATCACATAATATATATAAAGTTTTCTTGTAATAAAATATATATAACATAAAATTTACCATTTTAACCATTTTTTTGTGTACAATTCAGCAGGATTAGGTACTTTCACAATGTTGCATAACCATCACTACTATCTATTTCCAGAACTTTTTCATAATCCCAAACAGAAACTCTGTACCCATTAGGCAAAACAGCCCCATCCTCCCTTCTGGGAACCTCTATTCTCCTTTCTGTCTCCAGGAATTTGCCTAGTCTTGATTTTCCATATAAGTGGAATCATACGCTATTTGTCCTTTTGTGTCTGGCTCATTTCACTTAGCATAATGTTTCACTTTAGCTAATGTTTCACTTAGCAACATGTCCATCCATGTTGTAGTCTGGATCAGAACTTCATTCCTTTTTATAGTAACATTCCATTGAATGGCTAGACCACATTTTGATTGTCCATTCATCTGTTGATGGATGCTTGGGTCGTAGTAATATATTTTTTTAAATCTCAGATGGGATCATTTCACACATCTTGTTGTGTGCCGGCCTTTTTCAGTGGGCAGCATGTCTTGGTGCTCATTCTGTGTCAGTAATATAAATGGGTCTTGTTCTTTTTAACAGCTGCATGGTATTCCATAACATGAGTGTTGCACGGTTTAGCTAACTGATCCTCCATTGACGGACTTATAGGTTATTGCTAGTTTCTGATTGTGAGGGCCTGCTTCATTGAGCTCCACCCTCCCTGTTTGACATAGCAAAGTCTTGGGGTGCTCGCCCCTCCCCCCCCTTTTGGCCCCAGCCACCCCAGCTGTTTGTCTCTTTGCCCCACTCCCAGGTCAGTGACTGGTGGGAAGAATTTGTGTACTTGCGCTCCCGGAACTCGCTGATGGTGAACAGCAACTATTATATGATGGTGAGAAGGGCGCTAGGAGATGGCGAGGGGGTGGGGCTCATAGCTCCCTGGGGCTAGGGTGGGGTGTCTGGGTAGAATGTGGGGTTTAGCGTCAGTGAACCAAATCACAGTCTGGAATTCACAAGCCCGCCCTGTGTTTGGGGTCAGTGCCCCCATCAGGGGCAAATCTGACCCCAGGCGTTTCGCTGTCCCCTCGGCTGGCCCCAGGACTTCCTGTACGTCACGCCCACGCCGGTGCAGGCCGCTCGAGCCGGGAACGCTGTCCATGCCCTCCTCCTGTACCGCCACCGCCTGAACCGTCAGGAGATCCTGCCGGTGAGAGGGCGGCTGTGGGCTGGGATGGAGGCCGTGGTCCTGTGGCCGTGGGGCCACGTGGGGCCTGGGGGACAGCTCACGAGCCCGTGGTCTCCTGCAGACTTTGCTGATGGGCATGCGGCCCTTATGCTCCGCCCAGTATGAGAAGATATTCAACACCACGCGTATTCCCGGGATCCAAAAAGGTGAGACCCCTCTCTACTCCTCACTGACAGAGGGGAACAGTGCAGTGACGAAGCGCACGTTCTCTGGAGCCAGCCTGCCTGGGTTCGAATCCCAGCTCCATTGCTCCCTGGCTGTGTGACCTTGGGCAAGTTATTACCTTCTCTGAGCCTCAGTTTCGTCATCTGCAAAATGGGATAATAAGGGGATGAGGATTAAGTGAGTGCCTGGAACAGTGTAAGCCACATGGAAGGCCTAATAAATGGTCGTTATTCTTATTTTTATAATGTATCTTACCTTCCCGCCTGCCACCTTTTGCCCACCTGCCCCTAGACCACATCCGCCACCTCCGTGACAGCCGACATGTGGCCGTCTTCCACCGGGGCCGCTTTTTCCGCGTGGGGACCCACTCCCAGAGCAGCCTCCTTTCCCCGCGGGCCCTGGAGCAGCAGTTCCAGCGAATCCTGGATGACCCCTCGCCCGCCCGCCCCCACGAGGAGCATCTGGCGGCCCTGACAGCCGCTCCCAGGTGAGGGTCAGAGGTCAGGGGGCCCAGAGGCCCGGTCAGCTCCCGAGTTTGCGGAAGGGCAGGTTGGGGACCAGGGGCGGGGGGGGGGGGGGGGCTGGGGGAAGGCTGGGCAGAGTGGAGGGCCGGCCTGGGCTCAGGCACGTCCCCCGACAGGGACATGTGGGCCCAGGTGAGGAGGAGCTTGAAGACCCAGGCCAAGGACGCCCTGGAGGCTGTTGAAGGGGCTGCTTTCTTTGTGTCACTCGACTCAGAGCCCGCGGGGCTCACCAGGGAGGACCCCGCAGCCTCGTTGGATGCCTACGCCCACGCCCTGCTGGCCGGCAGGGGCCATGACCGGTGAGTCAGCTGGGGTCGTGGACCCCACCCTGACCTGCGACCCCAGAATCTGAGGGCCCCAGACCCAATGCCTTGAGACCTGGGGACCTCTAACCCAGACAACCCCTAGACCTGGGACCCCAGATCTCAACCCAGATCCAGAACCCCACATCTGAGGACCACTGAACCCCTGACCTGGACCCTCAGACCTAGAGAAACCCTAGACGCGGGACTCCAGACTCAGCATCCCAGACCCAAGGACCCCAGATCTGAGGACTACCAAATGCCAAATCTAGGACCCCTGGACCCAGAGACCCGCCCCCCACAGCCAGAACTCCAAGCCAGGGGACCTCAGACTCAGGACTGCAGCCCTCCGAATCCTCAGACCTTAATGCAGCCACCCAAAACCCAGGACTCCAGACTTGGGGCCCCCAAACCTAGAGATCCTCAGACAACCTTCTAGATGCCCACTAGGCATCACTCTGATTTCTGAGGCCCCCAGGAGAGTCCCCCTAACCTCTCAGCATCCCGTAAGACCTGAACCTTTCTCAGCACATTCTCGCAAAATCTGCAAACTTTCCAAACCCTAGACACATCTCAGAGACCATCCAGAACCACGCACTGGAGACCCCCATCTTCTTAGAGATCTTCACACCAGCCCTGATTCTTGGAAAAATCTCCCCACCCTGGAACCCCCACAAGTCCCACAGAGAGCACCCCCGAGTTCCCTCCTGGCCCCCGCTCTTTGGTGACCACTCTGAACTCTCCCCCTGCAGCTGGTTTGACAAATCCTTCACCCTCATCGTCTTCTCCAATGGGAAGCTGGGTCTCAGCGTGGAACACTCGTGGGCCGACTGCCCCATCTCAGGACACATGTGGGAGGTAGGACAGGCAGCTGACCCCCATCCTGGGGACTGCCATTTCCAAAGACCTTCCCCTCCAGGGCCGTAGAGTCAGGGGAAAAACGGAGGCTCAGAGAGAGGCAGAGACCAGACCAGGTCACCCGGCAAAGGAGGAGGTCTGGAATTATGACCTTCCTTTGACGAATGGGCATTTGGGGCTCAGAGAAGGGAAGCGATTTGCCCAGAGTCACAGAGCCAGAAGTTGCAGAGTGAGAATATGATTCCAGAATGCTCTGAGACCAGAGAGTGAGGCCTTGCAACCACATCTCACTGAATCAGAACCATCTTCCAGCTCTGGTTTGCTGTGTGGCCTTGGACAAGTTACTCCCCTCCTCTGAGCTTCAGATTCCGCTTCATCAGGTGAAAGGGTTGGATGTTCTTTTACCTTTAAGCTCCTGTCCAGTCCTGAGAACCTTAGCACCTCTATTTTCTTTATTTTATTTAGTCCCTAAACCGTAGAAGGTGGCGTCTGCCCTGCCTCGGGTTCCCACTCTTCTCTGGTTCTGCACAAGGGGTTGGTTGGGGCACAGGGTGGTGATCGAGCAGGCATGAGGGGAAGGGAGGCCCTTTCCAGATCTTGGGAGCAGCCTCAGGTAAGCTCTGACTCTTCCTTGCCTGTTTCTCATCTGTAAAATGGGAATATTTCCCCTTTGATTATATTAGTAAGTGAAACTCCCAATTCAGTTTAAGCTCAGACCTTTCAGACATTTCACGTCAACACATCATCTCTGCATATTGACTTTGAACAAAGGGATGTCACGTAGAGCAAGATAAAAAGAAATGCAAACTCTAAGGCATAAAGTGATGTGTTCTTTTCCCAATATATTTCTTTTTTTTTTTTTTTTTAAAGATTTTATTTATTTTATTTTTTCCCCCCAAAGCCCCAGTAGATAGTTGTATGTCACAGCTGCACATCCTTCTAGTTGCTGTATGCGGGACTCGGCCTCAGGATGAACGGAGAAGTGGTGCCTCGATGCGCACCCGGGATCCGAACCCGGGCCGCCAGCATCGCAGCGCGCGCACTTAACCACCAAGCCACAGGGCCGGCCTTCCCAATATATTTCTAACATCAAAATGGGGGATATTAATCCCTTCTTCCTAGGGTGTTGTGAGAATTCAGTGGAAGGCTGGTGGGTGGTAGGTGCTCTATAAGGGCAGATTTAAAATATTTAACAACCAGCAGGGCACGGGCACCACTCAATCAGAATGGATGCCGACGCCTAGAGGCTCATGTCATGCTCAGCTTTATTTCTCCTGTCCCAGGATTGTGGCGAGGGATGGGGGGGTCCTTGGGAGGGCTGGGAAGCCAATGGTGGCTCTTCATCTACCAGTCAGAAGCCCAGGGTCAGTAACCACCAGTTGAGTATTAGTATCAGTCCTGCTCTCAATGAACTTGACCCCGAGAACCCACCTGTGAATACCAGAGGTTTCTGTTCCGCAAGGATGGCCCCACTCCCAGAAGAGACTTATGAAAAGAGGTCCCTGGTTAGATGGCCCTCAGTCCAGAGGGAGGAAGGGACTCTGACAGCCTTCATTTGTACACAGTTCACTCTGGCCACAGAATGCTTTCGTTTGGGCTACTCGGCAGACGGCCACTGCAAGGGGCACCCTGACCCCTCGCTGCCGCAGCCCCAGCGGCTGCACTGGGACCTTCCAGACAAGGTGAGACCGGGTTTCTGGGCCTCTCCTCCAAGTCCCCAAATTCCTGACTTTGACTCCAAACTCATCCCCACTCCCAATCTCAACCTCAAAATCAACCCCATTCCCTACTCCATTCCCAACCCCAACTCTAAACCTGTCTCCACCACCAATCCCATCCTTAATTCAACCCCATCCCCGTCCCCAACCTCAATCCATCCTACCCCAACTCAAACCCCAATTCCATCCTCACCCCAAACTCTTCTTCATCCCCAACACCACCACCATACCTAAATTCAGTCCCATCTCCACCCTTAACCCCATCCGAACCCCAACTCTGACCCCATCCCATCCCCAACCCCATCCTGACTCCAATTCAGTCCTTATACCCAACCCCATTCCCTGCCCCATCCCAATCCCCAGCCCCATTCCATCCCAACCTTCACTGCCATCCTGATCTCCATCTTTAACCAGCCCTTCAGATCTGTTCTCTTCTTTGTCCTCATTTCCATATTTCACCCCAACCCTAACTCCATGCCCATCTCCACTTCCAGCCCCATTCCCAACTCTAACCCTACTCTCATCTGTAACCCCAGCCATTCCTGCCCCTCCTTGTCTGGCAGATCCATCCATCCATCTCTCTAGCCCTGAGGGGAGCCAAGACCTTGTCTGGAAACATTGACTGCCACGTCTTCCCCTTCTCCCACTTCGGCAAGAGCTTCATCAAACGCTGCCACCTGTCTTCAGACAGCTTCATCCAGATGGCCTTGCAGCTGGCCCACTTCCGGGTCAGTTGGGTTCCCCGATCCCAGCCCCCTCTCAGGACCTCGGTTCCCCTGAGCCCCCAAGACCTGCCTCGTCAGCCCCTTTTTAATGACTTTTCTTGGCCATTGCCATTGTGGGTCCGCCATCTTGATTTCTCTCTCCCAACCACAGATTCCTGGGTGGGAGGAGGCTGGAGGTCCAGACAGTGGTGGGTCAAGTCTGTGAAGACTTCCCAAGCCCAGCTGACAGGCTGCTCTCCTCCTTGTCCCCCAGGACAGGGGTCAATTCTGCCTGACTTATGAGTCGACCATGACTCGCTTGTTCCTGGAAGGCCGGACAGAGACGGTGCGATCTTGCACGAGGGAGGCCTGCAACTTTGTGAGAGCCATGGAGGACAAAGAGAAGACAGTGGGTGTGGGCCTCGTTTGAGGCTTCAGTCATTTCCACGTTCCCACTCATACACTTGTGAACATTTATAGAGCACCTTCTGAGGGCCAGGCCCCATGATGGGCACTGGGGACAGAGGAGGAACCAGACCTGGTCTCTGACCTCAAGGAGCTCACTGAGGGGGGAGACAGAGATAGTTCAGCATAGTGTGATACATGATTTAATGGGGGTCACACAGGCTACGGTGGGGGGAGCAGCCAAGAGGGAGTCCTGGTTCCACCGTGTAGTTCTCTTTGATGATTTAACCTCTCTGTGACCTTGTGACTTCCATCTGCACTATTCTTCATGTTCCCTATATAACCTCTCTGCCTAGAACCCCCTAGGCACTTCTGTTCCCTCTCCCCCCTACCTATGAGGTATTGTGGGTCAATGGAAGGAGTTTGGGCACTGAAGTCAGAGAGACCTGGGAACCCACCTAATTCTGCCTTGTTGTGTGACCCTGGGGAAATGACTTCCCCTCTCTGAGCCTGTTTCCCTTCTGTAAAATAGAGTTGATATCTCTGCCTTGCAGGGATGTTGCAAGCTGGGTTGAGGCCAGGGGTGTGACAGGCCCCAGCAGTAAGCCCACTTCCTGTCTTTCCATGACCTCTGACCTCCCCGGGGACCCCAGGACCCGCAGTGCCTCGCCTTGTTCCGCGTGGCGGTGGACAAGCACCAGGCTCTGCTGAAGGCAGCGATGAGTGGACAGGGGGTCGACCGCCACCTCTTCGGGCTCTACATCGTGTCCCAGTTCCTCCACCTGCAGTCACCCTTCCTGGACCAGGTTGGGGTGCAGGGAAAGGGTTAGAGAGGGAAGTGGGGAACCATGGGAGAAGGGAGGCACGTCGGGGCAAGGAGGGTGATGTTGGAAAAAGGGGGTATCAGCAGAGGAGAGAGTTAGGGAGATAGGGGCAAGAGAGAAAGGGAGAGGGCGGAGAGGGAAAACGGGCAGAGAGAAGGGGGAGGGGCGTGGTCATGGAGAGGGATGTGGTCATGGAGAAAGGGGGCGTGGTCTTGTGAAAAGGGGGCGGAGGACAGGGCGTGGTCGGGGGAGAAACGGGATGGGTGTGGTCAGAGAGGAGATGGGCGTGGTCGGGAGAGAAGAATGGTCTAGGAGAAGAGAGACAGGGTGGGGCAGGGGGAGAAAGGGAGAGGGGCGTGGTCAGGGAGAGGGCATGGTCGGGGAAGAGGAAAGGGGCGTGGTCAGGAGGGGAAAAGGGAGGAGTGTGGTTAGAGAGAGGGGCGGGGTCAGGGGAGATGGGCGTGGTTAGGGGGACAAGGAGAGAAGGGCGGGTTCAGGGAGAAGGAGATAGGGGTGTGGTCAAAAAGGGGCAGAGCAGAAGGGTGGGGTCAGGGAGCAGAAGGACAGGGCGGCAGACAGGGGCCAGATTTAGGGGAAGTAGGCAGTCCAGGGATGTCAGAAAGGGCCAGGGTTGGGTGGAGTGGAGTTGAGCCAAGGGGGCGTTGACGCGCAGGTGTGTTTGTCTGTTGCACACGTGACCATCTCCTGTCCCTCAGGTCCACTCGGAGCAGTGGCAGCTGGCTACCAGCCAGATACCCGTTCAGCAAATCCACCTGTTTGATGTGCACAATTACCCCGACTATGTTTCCTCCGGTGGTGGATTCGGGCCTGTGAGTGGAACTGGGCCTGACCCCAGCTCTCGATCCTGGGCCCTGGGGCCTCGGGGCTGGGGGTCTACACTCCTGCGTGGTGGGGGAGGAGGGGACCGGGGGCTATTTTGTTCGCCTCACTCTGTCCCTCTCCAGGCCGATGACCATGGTTACGGTGTTTCTTACATCTTCATGGGGGATGACACGATCACCTTCCACATTTCCAGCAAAAAATCAAGCACAAAAACGGTGAGACCAACTTGAACACCAACCCACCCTGCCCCCTCCTCCCTCAGGACCAAGGAGTCTGGGCTCCTAGCTCCCTCCTCTCCTACAACCTAGGAGTCCAGACTCCCAACTCCTTGCTGCCCCACAATCCAGGAGTCCGGGTCCCAGCCCCCTCCTCCCTCAGACCCAGGAGTCAGGCACCCCAGTCCTCTGGTTTCTCAGCCCTCAGGAGCCCGTCTCTCAGCTTCCCCTGGACGTGACACGTTTCTCCTTCTAGGACTCCCACCGGCTAGGGCAGCACATCGAGGATGCATTGTTGGACGTGGCCGCCCTGTTCCAGGAGGGACAGCGTCTTAAGCGTGCGTGCAGAGGGTTAGGGGAGGAGGACTTGGGACACAGGTGTGGCTCTCTCCCCTGCCACGCTAGGGGCTCCAGGGCACCCACGACATCTGCCACCTTTTGACCCCTTCCAGTGGGGAGCTGGTCTCCCCAGGAACTAAGGGGAAGGTCTCTATGGCTGGGCTGGTGCAGGACAGAGGCAGCCCATTTGGGTTTGGAAATCTCACATCTGGTCCAATAAAGATGTGTGAGCTGGGTGTGTGGTCTCTGCTCTGCTCTTGGGCTGGGCAGGGGTGGGAGAGATGAGGGTTAGGGTGGAGGAGGGGGAAAGTTCCATCCATCCCCAGGTGTCATGAATTCCCAGTTACAATCACAACTTCAGCTCCAACCCCCAACACCTGCCCAGTTTCCTGCACCCCCAGCTCCAGTCACACCAAACCCAGCCCTCCAAGGCCAATCCCAGTCAACAACCTCACGAGCTCTCACTAGCCCAGTTCCAGCTGCCTCAACACCAACTGCTCACCCCAAACTTAAAGATCGACACCAGTCCAGCCACCCCACTTGACACCTCCCAAGTGAATACTCCAAGATTCTTATTACCCAACCTCGACCCCAGCCATTTCAACCTCCACCTCAATGATGGATTCAGCTCCCATGACTAGGAAATGCACTACCTAATGTTCACTGTCCTGACCACTGCCGTCATTCCAACAACCAATGACTCCACGACACCACACCCCATTACACCCAACAACTCAACCACAATTTGAACCATATAACCCACATAAAAATATCCAACCCCAAACTCTAAGACTCCCATCCAATCTCCACTATAACCCACACTTAAACTTGACCCATAGTTATGACTTTAAACACCACACTCCTTGACCACACCCCCACTCTACCCCCACTACCATTACAAACCCCACCAGCTCAACTGCAGTCATATCAACACCAGCCCCATCTGACCACATCAAAACCCCAATCATCCAACCCTTCACTGCCATGATTCCAATACTCCATGACTCCAAGCCCCATTGCTTCCACCAAGTCAAGCATGTCACACCAGCCCAACAACAAAATCAGAATGCTGAACACCTTAACTTCCACCAGCCCAACCTCCACACCCAACCCACCAGCTCTAGTGGTTTCAAAAAATGTCCTCAAGTACTTTGACACTCCTTCCTTCAAAGGTAGAGCTCAATTCCCCTCCCCTTGAGTGTGGCCTGGACTTAGTGACTCTTTTTCTAACTAAAAGAATATGGTAGAAGTGACTAGGACATGAAAGACATTCTGGCTTCCTTCTTGTTCTCTCTCTGAATCATTTCCTCTGGGGGAAGCCAGCCACCATGTCATGTGGACACTCAAGCAGCCTATGGAGAGGCCCACGTGGTGAAGAGCTGAGGGCTCCTGCCAATGGCCAGTGAGGAATATTCCCAGGGAGGGAATGATCTAGAAAGCAGATTCTCCAGCCCCAGTCAAGCCTTCAGATGATTGCAGCCTAGCTGACATCTTGACTGTAGCCTCATGAGGGACGTGAGCCAGACTCCTGACTCTCAGAGTTCTTGACTTTCAGAAACTGTGAGATAATAAATATTTATTGTTTTAAGTTGCTATGTTTGGGGGTATTTTTTTTTTTACACAATAATAGAAAACTAATACACACTACGAACACCTCAGCCTCAACCCCATATCCCTAACCTCATCCCATTTCAAATCCCCTTGCCAAATCCATCCCTGTGGCAGACAGAGCCTGAGGTGACCCTCACTTATCTCCCACCTCTTGGTGTCCAGACCTTTGTGTGATTCCCTTGAGTGTGGGTGGGACCTGTGGCTTGCTTCCAACCAATAGAATATGACAAAGGTAATGGCATGTCACTCCTTTATTTAGACTCCATTTTAGCAGATTGGGGTGAAAGATTCTCCTTGCTGGCTTGCAGCCATGTTGAGAAGGCCTCCATAGCAAGGAACTGTGGGTGGCCTCTAGGACCTGAGGGCCACCTCCAGCCAACAACCAGGAAAGCCCTTGGGGCTGTTTGTCGTACAGCCAAAAGAAAATGAATTCTACCAACAATCTGAGAGAGCTTGAAGTGGCTCCTTCCCCAGTAGAGCCTCTGATGAGACTGCAGCCCTGGACAACATGTGGATTGCAGCCTGGGGGACCCTGACATGAAGAATCCAACTAAACTCTGCCTGGACTTCTGACCTTTGGAAATTGTGAGATAATCAATGTGTGTGTGTGTGCGTTGTGTTTTGGTGAGGAAGACTGGCCCTGAGCTAACATCTGTTGCCAATCTTCCCCTTTTTGCTTGAGGAAGATTGTCCCTGAGCTAACATCTGTGCCCATCTTCCTCCATGTTGTATGGGGACACCACCACAGCATGGCTTGATGAGCAGTGTGCAGGTCAAAGCCTGGGATCCGAACCCACGAACCCCAGGCAGCCGAAGTGGAGTGCCCGAACTCAACCACTATGCCACCTGGCTGGCCCCATCACTGTGTGTGTGTGTGGTTTGGTTTTTTTTTTTTTTTTTTTGAGGAAGGTTAGCCCTGAGCTAACATCTGTTGCCAATCTTCCTGTTTTTTTCTTTTTTCTCCCCCAAAACCCGGTACAACTGATAGTTGTGTATCATAGTTGTAGAGTTGTGGCTCTTCTACATGGGACGCCGCCTCAGCATGGCTTAATGAGTGGTGCGTAGGTCCACGCCCAGGATCTGAATCATGAACCCCAGGCCGCTGAAGTGGAACGGGTGAACTTAACCACTACGCCACTGGGCCAGCCCCCATCAACGTGTGTTTTAAGCCTCTAAGTTTGGGGCAATTGGTCGTGCAGCAATAGAAAGTCAACATAATCCCCCACTTCATCTCCCACCAAACCATACCCCTTTTCTGTGAAAGAATAAAATTCTGTTGCTTAAGCCATCCTGGTACTTTGTGGTTACTTTGTTATGGCAGCCCAAGGAAACTAACACAAGGGTCAGCCCACCGCACTGAGTTTTGATAATTGTACTACAGTTAAGGAAGATGTTAACATTAGGTGCTGGCACGGTGGCGCAGCGGTTAAGTTCGTGTGCTCTGCTTTGGTGGCCCAGGGTTCGCTGGTTCGGATCCTGGGCGTGGACCTACGCACCGCTCATCAAGCCACGCTGAGGCGGCGTCCCATATAGAAGAGCTACAACTCTACAACTGTGATACACAACTATGTCCTGGGGCTTCGGGGAGAAAAAAGAAAAAGAGGAAGATTGGCAACAGATGTTAGCTCAGGGCCAATCTTCCTCAAAAAAACAAAAAAAACAAAAACAGAAATGCATGTCCTCTAATCAGTCCTCAATGGATATTTTTTTTAAAAAAAGACCATAACATTAGAAGCTAGGTAAACGGTATACAGGAACAGCAAAATTGAGTGAAGGCACAAAGATTTCCCATATACCCTCTGACCCCACATGTACATGGTCTCCACCATTATAAATGCCCCCATCAGAGTGGGACGTTTGTTACAATCCACAAACCTACACTGACACCTCATTATCATTCAGGGACTTTTGCAACTTTCTGTAAGTCTAATTCTTTCTAAATAAGATGACTATTTTTTAAGTCATTTTAAATTTGTGCTAAGGGCTTCTCATGCCAAAGCCAGCAAGAATAGAAAAGTCTAGATCAGAGAATCACAAGATTAGCACACATGTTATAAAAGCATGTTTGTTCATGTATTCATTTAATAAATGTTTATTAAATGTCAAAATATATATATATATAATTTCTTCAAAAGTTGGGACCTGACTGGGTATTTGATATCAAGGAATTACATTAATCCTTTGTGCATGATAATGGCATGGTGGTCATGTTGAAAGGAATCCTTATCTTTAAGAAATGCACACTAGGGGCCAGCCCTGTGGCCTAGTGCTTAAGTTCAGTATGCTCTGCTTCCGGTGGCCCAGGTTTAGTTTCTGGGTGCGGACCTACACCACTCGTCCAGGCATGCTGTGGTGGCGACCCACATACAAAATAGAGGAAGACTGGCACAGATGTTAGCTCAGGGCGAATCTTCCTCAGCAAGAAAAAAAAAAAGAAAGAAAGAAAGATATGTACACTAAAGTATTTAGCAATAAAATGATATGATGTGGATAAGTTTTCAAATGATCCAGTGGAGGGGAGGTTATATTAGTTGCCTATTGTGGCTATACCAAGTTAGCACAAATTTGGCACCTTACATAACACAAATTTATTATCTTACAGTTTTGGAGGTCAGAAGTCCATCACGGGTCTCATTGGGCTGAAATGAAGATGTGGGCAGGGCAGCATTCCTTTCTGGAGGCTCTAGGGGAGAATCCACTTCATTGCCCTTTTCAGGAAAGCTTCTAGAGGCCACTCATATTTCTAGGTTCATGGCCCCCTCTTCCGCCTTCACAGCCAGCGTCATTGCATCCCTCTGTGCCTTTCTTCTCTAGTCACATCTTCCTGTGACTGACATCTGCCATCATCTCTCACTTCTGAGGACCCTTCTGATTATCCTGGATAACCCAGAATTAGCTCCCTATCCTAAAACCAGCTGATTAGAATTCCATGTGCAACGTAATTCCCCTTTGCCATGGAGCATAACATATTCACAGGTTCCAGGGGCATCTTTGGGGGAACCACTGTTCTGCGTACCACAGGGGCAGAGACGAAACAAGATTGGTGATGAGTTGATAATTAGTGACGCTAGGGGAAAGGTCATTGGGGAGGGGGGTTCCTTACATTATTCTACTTTTATATACGCTTCGAAATTCTGGAACAAAGAGTTAAATGAGTAAAAATACTGCTCAGCCTTTTTTTCCTCTGTCAGCTGATTATAAGGAACTCCTTCTCGCGCCAGCCCTGCCCAACGTAGTCATAAGTGTTAGCTAAGCGACAAGTGCTGGTGAATGTCCCGGGTCCAGCCCACCTGTTTACACAGCTTCTTTGTGGCCTCTGGCCCTGCTTATGCCTGATCCCAGATCCATCTTCTGATCTATGCAACCTAAAATACTTGGGGGGTCCGACAGAATGAGCCCACGATGGGCCACGCTGGCTGCATATCGTGTGACATCCTGCGTTCCAAGGCTCCATCTCTATCAGGGTTTAGCAGCATCCCAGGAATTCTTTTTTTTTTTTTTAATTTTATTATTATTATTTGTTTTCCCCCCAAAGCCCCAGTAGATAGTTGTATGTCATAGCGGCACATCCTTCTAGTTGCTGTATGTGGGATGCAACCTCAGCGTGGCCTGAGAAGCGGTGCGT